CTCGCCTCGGTGTCAAACGAATTAATTTACCAGGTAATTTTCAATATGTATCGGAAACATCGATTCGTTCCCCGGGCGACCTCTCCCACCCGGCGGTGTTCCCGTCTGTTTCTGCCCGTACGGGTTGTATTTGCCATTTAATTTTCAGCTCTCGGAGATAATCAAGAAATATGCCCGCGTCATCGTGTATTTTTATCGGCCGGCTGCTACGACCTCTGGCTCCGCCGACAGGGAGGCCATATTCAAGCTGACCGGGAGTCGGACCAGTGACCGATAAGGGCAACAAAAACCGGCGGCTTCGATTCAATCTCCCGCGGCGTTCAATTCGGATTGGATCGGTTTAATTGAAAAATTCGACGCGTCCTGTCCGGCCTTAATGAGATTTTCGTTACCGTGGAATTATCGCTGACATTATCAATCGGCGACACGCCGCCCGACATCCAGTAATAAACGGTCGTTCCGCCGGCTTTTGCGCGCCCGTTCGACGAAATCGAGTTATAGGGACTCCGAATTGCTGCTCTCCGCCGAGCTACTCTCCATACTACGGTAAAAGGGTCTTTATAGGCGGGCAGTGACTGAAGTTAACAGATTGGAAAGTTGTTTCAAATCTACCCATCATAAAATATAACGCTTGACTTTTAATCTTCTTCGATAACTTACAATGTATCGTCCACTCGTTACGGAAACTTTCTACGATCAACTGTCGCAGAAAGGGTGAACATAACCAGTTGGTCGACGAGTAAACGGTAAGAACCTCACGGCAAACGTAGATTAGCCTAGCAACACGTTTCCTGCCTCATGAGACGTTTCTTTCTCAGCAGAAACTACAAGACGTTTCTTTTTCTTTCTCCTGGTACCGCCAGGTAATTTCGTTCCGGGTAAACGTAATATCGCGGGACGACTTGGAACGGGAATTATTTTTAGCCGGGCAACGTTTTTCGCCCCTTGCGAGGCATCGCCGAGTGTCGAGTGGAAGGCCGAGCACAATGACCGATAAAAGTAGCTCGCCCGCCTCCCCAAGTTCGATTCAATTTCACGAAGTTTCAGCAGGCGCGCCCGACGGCGTCGGCGTCGGCGTCGGCGTCGGCGTCGGCAACGGCGGCAGCGGCAGCGGTGGCGGCGCGTCAAGTGCTGTCATCAAACTCGCATCCACTTTGCGCTGGTAGGACAAGTGGCTCTGCAGCACGGCCCGCGAAAATCCACTTTCCAGCTTCGAGGCCCTGCTACTCGGCGATGCATTATTCCGTCGAATAAGACGGATGGGAATAATATTCCAATCAGGGGCGTCCGATGCAGCGAGCAGCCTCCGATCGTTTGCCATAATGGGCCACGATCTTAGCACTCGTGAATTATGCGACTCCGTCCCCTGCTGCAGCCCTAGCGCCGCTTAGGAATAAGATCAGAATTTCCCTGGATACTTCCGGAGAATTAACCGGAAACTTGCACCCTACGCGCAACGGTGCTCGTTCAGACGCCACGTGTGGAGGATGGATGACGGCGTATCGGCGCCGATGAATTTTTCAAGCGTTGCGTTTCGACGCCGAGTTCACCGGCGGTAGTTTTTAGAGGTTGCATCACGTGTCCCGTGACACTTGGGGCAAACTTAAGAGATCGGCTCGATGCGTTACGAATAATAATATTGGAAGATGTCTGTTCGGCGGTTAAGAGGATTACAGAGTAATTCACGAGGGTGTAAGTGGTTTGTTAACACGGAAATTAGTGGTTAATTGATTTAGAAACTGGCGGGGTTCCGCGGCGAGTCGTTATTTATCGCGCGTTATCGGTCTACCTAAAATTAGGTGACCCGATACAGCTGCTTTGACTCCGGCCGATGATAATCTTCCCTCGAAGAAGCCCGGAAGGAAATAGCATCGATTTGTGCCCGCGCGGCACGATAAAATTCCCTTCCTCGGATTCGCCCTTTCTCTTCCAATCGCCGGAAAAATTGCCGTAATCGCCGGCCATTACACCGATGGCGCGACGATAAGGGTAAATTATCCTCGGATTAAAAGTGTTCCGCTCGACGGAGACCGGTGTCCGACAATTTCTAAGGGATCTCGAAGGATTCACGGCGATACTCCATTTTTCTCGGAGGCCACCGCGAAATAGGATAGAGTCACGGAACGATTTATTAAGATCCCGGCGAAGTTCGAAGCAGAAGGGAAACCAAAGCGCGGAATAGCACTGCGCCTCCGCCGAGGAAGAAAGGATAACGGAAAAGAAGCGACCTGTCTCGGGCGAACTTAATGGCTCTAGAAACGAAAGTCCGGCTGGGAAAGTTATCAGCGTGAAGCCTCGCTCGGAGATACGAGCATGAAACGCGTGACAGCGAAAACGCTGAAGTTTATTCTGGGTCACTGCGCAATTAACTTCACATGATTTTCTCAAAGTTTTCAGGCTCACCGCGTTTTCTCTGGAAATTACCGCTTAACAGTGAAATATAAAATACGACTAACTTTGAATTCTCCGAAGCTACGACTGCAACAGACGCTGAAACTGTGCGTTAAACGGAACTCCCCGAAAGTCTCGGTTTCGTTGCCCTCCGTTTAATTCGAAGACGGAAGATTCTCCTCCAGTTTCATCGAAACACATCGTAAATCCTCCCCAATGTTTTATTTACAGCCCTAAACTTGTTGCTCCCAGGGGGAGCCCCTAAATTCATACAAATAGCAGCCGTCTTCCCGTCGATGGCCCCGCCATAGTTCAAGGGGGGCACGAACGGAAGACGGAGATCTCGAAGACGGATGGGCGGAATTAAAAGTCGCGAGCCGGCGACAGGCGTAATGAAGCGGAAGTGGCGGCAAGAATCACGGTCTGTCTAGCTCGGTGAGCTTCCTGTTAATATAGGACACTCTTAAATTTCCGTCGTCGCCGCGAACGAACGGAGAAAGAGAACGGGGACAGGCGAGACGAAGATTGCAGTGCGGCGCGGCACGTTCGCGTAACGACCGGTTGGGGTCTAAATCTTGATAAACAGCTGCAAAGATTGTTAACGGTCTCCCATTATTTAGTGGAGAGGCCGAGTTCTCGCGGCTCCGGAAGACCGGAGGAAAGGAAAGAATTAGAGGGGAGACGGCCGGGAAAAGAAGAAAGGGTTTGGATGTCGGCCAGGCTCCGCGGGGCTGAAATGGTCGATCGCCAAAAAGGGGATCGTTTAAGGGCTGAGCATCGCGGAGCGTTTTGTCGCGGAATGATGGAGAGCCGCGCCTCGAGATCCGCTTTGTGAAAGGGCTCGCTGCAGTCTGTCACGCCCACGTCGATTCCGGCGGGCGATCAACGTCGCTTGAATTCCCTTTCTTCTTGGCGCGGCTTAATATGCGACTCCGACGTTAGAGTTTGCGAAGCGCCGCGCCGCGCGGACGCCGTTGTTTGCCCGGCCACAAATCGTGCCAAAAGTGGGGAAGAACGTTTACGGACGTTCCAGCGGAACGGACGGCCGGGCGGACATATTTACCCGTGAACGTAATCGCGAGTGTCTGCGCCACTCACCGCTGCCAACGCGTGGCGGCTACTTTCGCGATGTCGTCACGACACCGTATTGCCCATTAACGCGATATACGGCGGCTCCGGTCGCTACGGAACGCGACGCTTTCGAAATAAACCCATTAGACGACGCCGCGCCCCCGCGGCTGGGACCAGCTCGCGAGTCTCTCGTATGTGGAGCGGGACGGATAGACACGCTCGCTGCCGGGGACGAGATTCGATATAGCGTTCGTACATGGGCGAGCTGGAAACCTGCTTGTTTAACCCTTTACACTTGATAATATTTTCCGCTGTAAATGTTCAGTGTAAAATACTGTTCTGATATAATGGAACGTGTTACAATGAATTCAAGGATAGAACTATTTTATTTCTAGATTTCCCGAGTTTGTACCTTATTTCGTACGTTTAATATGGAATTTGTAATTTCGTAATTTGGCTGTGTCGAATCAAATGGCGGCTGAGAGCACTGCAGAGGGAATGCGGTATCAGTATTTCGATGTTTAAAGCGGTTATAACGCACGCTGTTAGGTCTCTTGACTGGAAATGAGTAATATTAATTACACGTTGAAGCCTGGTGCCCCGTTAATAGATTCCACCGACGACGAAGTAGTTATGGAACCAATCCAAACTGCATGCTTTTGCATATTCGTCGTGACGTTTCATTTTCCGTGACTTAAGGGTTTCAGTGTCAGAGTGCAAACGCTTAGAATTCGACCCACTTGAACGGGCAACGAAAAGATAAATTCTATAAAATGTACATTGCTTGATTGTCGCTCGACGTGTATCTGCGATACAGGTGGGTGCAAAAACAATGAGCACGATTACAGAGCGCGGTATCCGTGTAATCGGTTCGAGCTCTTCGAGAGCTGCTCAAAGGCTCGCGCAGCGAACACGGCATATTTGCCGGTTCGCGAGATCGAATAGGCTACTTGTATAATCATTAGACTGGGGGATGTTTATGCACGTTAAATATTCAAGAAGCGTATGACGTTTATTACCCACGGAAATTATGCAAATATGCACGCGAAATATGCTAATACCCACGAAAAATATGTGAAACATGCCAGCAACGTGTTACGACGTAGATTTGACATATAAAATATTACCTACAATGCCAAGACCTATGTTTGTACAGTGCTCAATGTTGCATTCGTTTCGAGAGACACGTATGAACGTACGCAAAATAAAAATATAGCGAACACTAGAGAAAATACGAGCTCCATAACTTTTCGCTATACTCAGACTGTTAAAGCACTATTCTCCAAATATTCTCTCTACGTCCGAAATCAACAGCTCACGTTTATTCCCGGTTATTCTAATTACCCAGCGTGTTCTTCGCAACCTATCGAGCTCGATCCTCTGTCGTCCATTTACTAGATTAAGACATTTATAAATAGATCCAACGCGACTCGCGTCGGACGAGCCTCCTTATCTCCGTCGACATGCTCGCTAACAAAGAGAATCCTTGGAGACGTGGAAAAGAAGAAAAATAGAAATGGAGGGGAACGAGCACTCACCGAGAAAGACGCTCTCGTCCATGTCGTCGGCGTACAGGTCGAGGGCAAGGTCGACCGCGCCGTCGGTGACGGCCTGCTCGTTCTTCTTCGCGAGGTCCATCAGCTCGTTTCGTATCGCCAGGTGGCCCGTGGCCAGAAGCTCGGCCAACAGGGTCAGGTAAGACGAGTTCAGGGAAGTAGGGCTGGTAGCACGTAGACAGCCAGGCAGCCAGAATCCTAAGAGGCCGTAGGGAACCACCGGTACCGCTCCGGTACTGACGAAGCCACCGTTCAGAAGTTCGCCGCACAACATAGGTGCAGCGATGACCTCAGCTCCTCCCTCGTGACCTTGGCAACGCCTCGATGTCGACTACCTGCGTCAACAGATCGGAGAGACGCGGAATTAATCGAAGCCGCGGGATTACTCGGTACGGCGGGATCGAATTAAAACGGGACGTTAATCGTTTTACGCGGTGATCGGGATCGTCGACCGGCTGACGGCTCTTTTATTCGCGTTCGAGCTCCGTTTAAAAGTTCTCCTATTGTTCCGCGATGAATTTCAAGGCTGACGGAAAGGCGACACTTTATGCGTGTAGAATTATCGTCGGGTAACTTTGTTCATTCGAAAGTACGGGGAATTGTGACATTGTTTGGTGAGTGGGAATCGAAACTGTTTCGTTTAGTCATGCCTCTTTGATAACCTCGAGTTGCATCATGTTATTGTTGACATCTTCAGAAGTGATGAGTAACGTTAAACGAAATCAGATAAGGCTAGTCGAAGCGTTGTTTTAAGTACAATGGAAGATTTCTCTGAGGACGTTACGAGACAGTAGATTGAACAAAAAACGATTCAATGGAGATACGAAAGAGTGAGCTGTAAATCATAATTGCAAATCAAACAATGATAAGAAAGTGTGCTCTGGACTGCAGATAATGCGAGCAGTGCAGGCGTGCTACACCCTATCGCATCAAATAATTCCGCCCACATGTAACCTCAACAGACTACAAAGTCAGAGAAGTTTATGGTGTATTGTGTGTGATGTATAGCATTGTTTTATTAAGGCTTAAGATAACCAAGATTGTAAAACGCGCTAATAAAACTTGGCACGGTTCAGAATCCCGAAGCACGCGTAGAATAAGTATATACAAAATAACAATTCCGTCGTGAATCAAAAGATTCTTATAAACACGCAGTCCTATTAAAAAATTATTCAAACAATTTCAAACATTCGAATTTGGACACTTTGCACTCGGTAGCTGAACTTTATTTAACATAACAAAAATATAAAGTCTTGTATACAATATCAAATTTTCTACAACGCATCGATACGAGAAATATCGAAATAAAATAGCTTTCTTAATTTATGTATGTTCTCTCATTATTCAGTTTCTAAGAACACCGTTTATATTTCACCGAAACATGTCGAGTATATCTACTGAAAAACTTCCAAGTGGAAAAGGTCAAATCCCCATCGTTCATATTTCCCTACAAGAACAGACCGATTAACCCGCTCAAAAGCGGACGAACGAAAATCCAATTATAGAACGGCAGCACAGCGGCGCTCGTGTTTTGCGCGACCCGTTAATGGACGGTACATTACTATACCTCTATCCGCGCGCACGGTTTTCGGCGGAGCTCTATATCAAACACGGACAAAGCGAGCACGGTGCGGCGCCCGGTATCCAAAGAGAAACATCGAGAAAACGGTTCACGAGAAAATTGTCCCGATCCTCGGAACGTAAGGTCATTACTCTTTCGAGATCCGACCGCGAAACCGAATAATACGTTGCCGCGGGTGCCGGTGCACGCGCGGATGAGAACAAAACTTCGCGACCATCTGCATGACAAAAGAGTTGGCACAACACTGGACAACGGAGGAGAACCGGAACAATACGATTCACGGCTCACGTGGTTCCTGTGCAATTATCGTGAAATGCACGCGAATTAATGCACGCCGCGGGCACAGGTACACACGCGCGCATACAAACGGTACCGTGAAACGCGAGCCGACCGTACGCGGCGTGTACCGGCGATACAATACGGAGATGGAGCACAAGACGATCGATACAGCCGCGGATTCACTCGTAAAAAATCGATTTAGCGGAGCGGACAGGTGTTGTGGAAACGCGGTGGCTCGCAGAAATGTCGACGCTCCGCGACACGTGTTCCGATCGTAAAGTTTTCGGGGGGACACGCGCGAAATTGAACCCACCCGTCATCTTTCGGCGCGCCGGCCGGCTTGACGCGGTACACCGTGAAGAAGAAAGTTCCGGCGGAGAGTCCGACAGTTCAGCGTGAAATTCACGGATATTCGAGCCGCGCCGCCGGCGGGCAACACCGGTCGAGAACCGGCCGTTCCGCAGAGCCGGTTACGCGACGGAGGACAGGCGTAAATGGACCGTGGCGAGGGGAAAACCAGATGCGACCCAATCGGAGCTGTGACATTCTTCTGGAGCCGGCCACTTGTCGCCGTGTTGCACGGCTGACGTCACTAGTGGCTCGCGTGGGCGTGGACACGCCGGATGATCTCACGTTCGCCGTCGTTGCATCGTGGATTCACCGCGAACGATCCTGACCGATCCGATCATTCGGCCGCGCGTCGAGCGCTCGGGAATGGAAGTCTCTCGAATGTCAAGGCGAACTTGGTTAACGAGAGAAGTTGAGAAACGCATGCAGATTTCGATTCGCTTTCCGTGTAATATGGAACTCGGAGAAATATTCGGTAAGATTTTGATGGAGCGGATTGCTCTCGACGAGAACGGTGAAGGAACGATCGGATGACGCGGAGTATAGTTTTGAAAAGAATTCGTACCAATTAGCTTTGATCGTTTAGCGATGTAAGTGTGGGGAATATTATTCTAGTTACCTTGTTATGATTTGAATAATTCAGTAGACGGTGATCTAATCCACTGGTCATGCCACGGATATTTCTTCTTTCATTCTGAATCACTGATTTGATCGCGGTGGGAGATCCTATGCACTCTAGTTCGTGCATAGCGGGAGGGAAAGGATTGTGAATCACTTTTTATGAATCATAGATTTATATGAGCGTTTGTAGGGAGAAAGATCGTCATTGACACGCGATCTCGAATGTTAGGGATGCATACAGTAGAAGAATATTAATAAATATCGCATTCTAAGCATTGTATAAAAATACTAATTCTACATATCAATTACGTAAGAGTAAGGAAGGAAAGATCGTGGATAAATTACATTTCGATTAACCAGTTGATTCTGAAATAAGACTGTCGCATATATGGGGAGAAAATACAAGTGTCCATGGATACGGCCCTGAAATTGACCATGTATTTCTTTCGCCGGCGCGGCCGGCGTAAACCGAGGCGCATCAGACGCGAGAAATACCCTGGGAAATGATCTCCCGTTAATTCGATCGTCTATGCACGGACTATCTGCGACATACATATTTCATGGGTATTCCGATTACACCGCGAGAAATCGCTGTGCAATTCGAGTTCCAGAAATTCCTGATCGGAATTTCGAACGCGTTCCGTAACCATTGGCGTAGCGCCGCGCCGCGCCGCGCCGCCGCCACCGGCGCTATAACCAAATTGATAATTTTACGCGCTATCGTTCCTGGCGAAGCGATACTCCAATTGACATTCATTTCAATCACCGTTCCGTTAGACACGCCGCTATTCGATTTTATTTCGCAATCAGGAATTCTTCTCGCGTCTCCTCGGAACTCCCCTCTCGGCGGGAAATTTATCGAAATACGAGGTTCCCGCGCGGGATCCTCGCAATTCCGAAAATTACATGTAGCCGGGTAATGCAGTTCGCCCTGTACACGAGCCGCGGTACATAGTCGATATTACGGCAACAACGCACGAGCGCAATTCCTCGGTCGCCTTTCGTTAACGCTACATCAGACCCGTAACGATTATTCGTTTCGAAAATTGGCGGAACGGTCCGTTGCGGACGACAACCGTAAAGGATAGGGCGTGTTGTCAAAGTGATTTAATTTTCCAGAAACACGCGCGAGCTGCTACGCCGCTGCAAGACGGCGAGTTCCACTCCTGGAGGAACGACGTTTTACTGTGTACTATTTTCGCGAAAAAGCATACCGTGCATAGCGTACGCGTGGACGGAATATTCTATCGAGACTACGCTGCAAAATCTTGGGCGCTGACGTGACCCGGACCGAGAAGTTCATTTTGAAAATCTCTCCCGAACGGAAGGAACGTTATTACGGCCGGTGCATCGCGCGATATGAAACATTCCACGCGATAAATTTGTTTAATGAGCGCTTTATGGAAAGTTAATGCACTGTTACGCGTGCCTCCTGTGTTTAATACAACGCTGATGCGCCGCTGTACCATGAAATTCATGTAATGTATCAATATACGTGGAATGATCGTTACGAAAAGACTACAAGAGTCTCGTGAACATTCGCTTTTACAGAAGTTGCAGATAACGAGCTAATTAAGAGTGAAGTTTCTCGTTTATCGAATATGAATCTAAAGATTCGAAGATTTGAAAAATCTATTTAAGACCTGAGGTCTAGATGGAAATTTCAATCCGGAGACTCATAAGTCTCGGAAAATTTCTCTTTTGGACTTCGTTGGGCTGGTTTCCTTGTAAAGATCCAACGGTCCCTTGGAAAGGTCTCTATCTAGGCTCCCAATGTTTCCCCCGGGAATGTCGCCCCTAGGGATTCAAGGATTTCGTGGGTCTAAAACTCCCTTTGGAACGTTCTCCCCAGGGTTTGTCGAATATATTACAGAAGTGCTTTCCGCTGACCACGATCGTCGTATATACAATATGTACTCAATATTCCCCGCTTATCTCTAGATAAAAAGACACGTCAGTATAAAGTGCAAGGATCCAATTTAAGTAGAATGGAAAGGATCAAACTTTTCATGGCAGTCAGACACGTTCGTTTGAATAAGCGTAATGCCTTCCAGATGCAATCGTAACGAACGTAGAAAGTTCTTTCTGAATGTTTCAAAGTGGCGTCCGCGGTATAATTCAGCCTCTTCGATGTTTCAGGTTAGATAAAAAGTGGCATTAACAATTACGCCCGGCGCGGCGAGTAAAAGACAATCGTATCGCGCGGCCGAGGCGTGCTAAATTGATAAGCCGGCGGCGGTTTAAGTTGAATCGATAACAGGGTTAAAACTTACGCAGTCGAAATTACCGTGTTCGGGCTCGAATTCCTTTTTCCCAGATTGCACGCGATTCGAGTAACGTTCATGATCGTCGAATTACACCATTACCGGGTCGAATGAATCATGACTGACTAGGAATACTGCTATACCGGTACTGAGAAGTTTGCAGATAACACCGGGGGAACAGGAGGGGTTGGAGGAAGCCATCGACCAGGAGCGGCAGACGAACGGGCGCCGTGACCACCCC